AACTGAATATCATGAAAAAAAAGAAAGAATTTTGTGTCAATTAAGTATTAACTCCGAAATACGTATGTAAATTTTCACTAAACCAAATTTCAGTGTGCTAGTTAGCTTCAAACTGTTTATTTTTTTTCAATGATGTAAATAATTAATAAAAAGTTAGGCATTTAATTTACATAATTATTTAATAATTTTTACCAACTTTTGTAGTTTATACTACTGTGTAAACTTTTATACTTTTGGTAATTGATAACTTTTAATGTATTATACAAATAATATCCAAAAAAAAAAAAAACAATTTTTTTTTTAACCATCAGAAAAAAATATTTTACAGTATTGATGAGTGTTAGTACTTAGTTCATCTGATCACTAACACTTCTATAACCAACTTATTCCGATCTCATTTTATTATGAACTCCAAACATCAGAATTTGAATAAATGTAGGTACCACTAATAAAGGAAAAAATGGGGATAAGCGTGCTCGGTGAATTAATCTGCATACGTGTGTTACTTGATTACGGTTATATTATTTTCTCGATACTCCTTTAATTGTGTCGAGGATAAAAATATGTATGTGCGAGAGATTTTTCAATTTTTTTCTTTTCATACTCGTAGAGTCGATCTATAGAAGAATTTATATTTTCTCTAAGTGTGCCTCTATACGTATAATATTTTGAGATGTTCGCGTCGTGCAAATAATAGCCTCGACATTTTTATTGTTGTCATACATAGGTACACGTGGGTTTCTGATATGACGTGTTATTTGCTCTGTTATAACAGAACGTAAATAATAACTTATCGCCTTTGTTTGTTTTTACATTTTTTTTTTATTTGTTCTGTTATTGCATTTTGACAGTGACGACGAAAACACAATAAATCGCTCAACGATACCGAAGCAATAATAATAATAATATTAATAGTAATAGTTATTATTACTTTTATTGTATTTCGACGCTCTAGGAACATAATATTATTTAATATTATTTCTGTTTTTCAGTTAGTTTATAACGAAATCTAAAAAAAAAAAAAAATAATAAACATTTGAACGAATAAAGCTAAAGCCATAGTAAACCAAAGTAATATTATATTATCATCATCTGACATCCGAAAACTTAATCACATAAAAACTGAGAAGTCTCATCTTGACAGTAAATCTTATGCCTCATCTAATCATAGGTGAATATACGTTATACGTAGTATAATGTGATAACGTAATATCTCGTGCTGTATTGTTGATGATATTATACATTGTGTGAAGACTTAGTAAAACTTTAAGGAAAGCGAATTTATTTATTTTTTTTATTGAAACTATTGTATTTAAATATTTAAATAAAGTCATACATCTGCATTTATCTATCATTTTTTTGAATATTATTATTTTTTTTATCATTTATACGTATCATTCAATAAATAAATTATAACATTTTAATATATGTGTATAATTAACAATAATCAAAAAATATATTTCAATTTCAATTTATTATTGTTTAATTATAACTGTTTGATGAGATGGAAGTCAAATCTAAGGTACAAATTATTTACTGTACAAAAATAAACTAAAAATAGAATATAATTTAAAAATTACAATTCTTTTTAATATTACAAGTAATAAAAATGTCTGATTATTTAGAGTGGTAATTAAGGTGGTAATGTGCAATTTATCATTTGGTCGATGTAAATTAAGTCTGATATTTTGTGAGATAGTATGAAAAAATCAAAAATTACGTTTTTAAATGTAACTTAATTTGTTTACACAAACTTTTAAAGCTAATACTTTTAACTATAAATTAAAGCTATCTTAAAAATTAGAGCTTTATTTGTTAATGTAGTTATGATGTTTTATATTTCTTGAAAATTACTCGAGGGCTTAGGTATAATCGGATAGTTTAGCCGATTATCGCAAGTTTCACAGGATCAATTTATAATCCTAGTCCGGTCCTGGCTGAACATTCTCCCATATTACTGCTCACTGTGACATAATCATATTATACTATTTGAATTAATTAATAATTTACCAGTTTCCGTAACAATGTATATCAACGAAATCCGATCATTGGGGTGATTCCTGCCAGTGTTTATTACATATTTATAGCGTGCTAAAAAATGTTTGCTTTGAAGAAAGTGTAGAGATATTATATCTGTATATTATATGCATTAGTCCGGTACCTTATCATATGAGAAAATGGATAGAGTTATCCCGTTTCGACAACGAATCTTTAGTATGAAAACTGATGGACTATATTTGTCAGACGGTAGGCTAAGATCAAAACGAGTTAATTTATAAAACGAATTCATTATATTAAGTGCCAATTAATTACGCAACTGGCCGTGTTGTGTTTAATTAGTAACGTTAGAATATGAGTACTTGGGCGTGCGTAGTGTTTATGGCGATTAATAATATCATAATATAAATGGTGCAAGGGCTAGACATGACGTGGCGTTTACATTTTGCGTTAGGATATAATGTACAGTTCTGTGAGTTGATAATTTTTTTGCTTTCAAAAATCAAACGAATAACAATTATTCTGATGCTGTCATTTTGATTTTAAAAATTTACATACAGGTACATAAGCATATAATTTTAATTGATTTTAGATAGTGAGAAACGGCACTGATATGATTTAGATTTTTTTTTCTTTAGGAAACAGAAGTGAAAAAATAACTTCAAATGATTTTGTGTTTCTATAAATCGGAGATTAAACGTTGATTGTACGTTGGTCGATGAGGATATTTTTTGAATTTCTTCATTGTTTTTCAAAAATATGTGGTGTAATCGTCGAGCATTACACCGCTGATTTTTGATATTTTAATTCCAAGTGAATTACTTAGTTAAATACGTTTATTAATTTAATTATAGAATAGTGCATTTCAAGTTTTAGGATGTGTCAATTATCAAGCATAATGAATGAAAATTGAATTATAAATGTTTAGAAATTTTGTCAGCATAATGGCCAATTGTTTCAAAAACATACACACACAAACACATATACATTGGTCTCCTAAGCCATAGTTGAAATAATTTATAATACAACAACAATGTTAGCGAAACAAATAATCAAATTAATTAAAAATATTATTAGATATCACGAATAATAGGTACATATACGAATAAGTCGAACGAGATGACGATTTTCCTTTACGTTGTAGATAATGAGTTAGGTCTCAAAATTCTGACTATAACCGATCTGCAAAAATGTATGTTATAATCAAGGCTATAAATACAATGCATTAGAAAAGCATGAAATATAAATCACCCAAAATATAAATTCTAGACATGTGGAAAATATGTAGTTAATAAAAATTCAGAAATATACGAAATTATATAATATAAATTAATAAAATAAATTCACAACTTTGTTTATGGTTTGATAGGAATAAATAAATAATATACAAGTAATATTTAAAGTACGTATAATATATGTTTATATTGTAAAAAGGAAAAACAAATTAGATTAAAAAAAAAAAAAAAAAAAAAAAAAAAGAGAGAGAGAAATCACGAAAAATAAATATTTCTGTAGAAAATGTTATAAGCAGGTGTACTGACATATAAAGCACTAAATCCACAACTTTTTCTCCGAAAACGCAATAAAATAATAATAAAAAAATATTTATGGGTTAAACGTCGTTTGAATACGCGAATACATAGCGTAGAATAAAATTCGAAATTCGAATTGTCGTGCGGGGTATTTGACGTTTTGTTGTTACGTCGTCTGTTGTGTCGTCATAATATGCATTATGTATCATAGTTCAAAGTTGGCATTTGCGATCGAGGTATCATCATTCACTGCGACCACGATTTACGACGGAATTTCCAGGTCGAGCCGAGCCCAGACTTTTGGACACGACAGACCGCATATCCGCGAACCCGGCAGGAAATCCGTAAACGACATTCGTTTTCGATCCCTCCAAAACGCGCAACCAGTGACGGTGCGAGAAGAGGGGCAATAGGGGCAGTTGCCCCGAGCCCCGCGCTTTAAAATTTGATTGTAATTTAAGCCTCGCGGGTAGCGGTTCAAAGACCCTGTGTAGTATAGATAGTGATTTATTTATCTCGGGGTCCTGCAAACTCTAGCATGCCGTCACTGCGCGCGCAACACATCGCTTTGCAAATAATACGATACAATCTTTGTAGTCTCTCGGACTCTCACCGAGTACGCGTTTCCTTGGCTCGTGTTAAAAAATGAATAATAATAATAATAATAAAAAAAAAAAAAACCATTTGACCGTAAGCGCGCACAGGTGTTCGATTGTCATACGCGCGAAAAAAGTTATGTTTCACGGGACCGAAAAACAAAATTGTTTTGCCGCCGCCGCCGCCGACGACGACGACGACTCTGCTGCGCCGCCGTAACGAGCGGCCGGCCGTCGTCAGGAGTCGCAGTCGCGGTTCACGGCGGTGGTCACGCGGATGACCAGGGACGGCGAGAGAGAGAGAGAGAGAGAGAGAGAGAGATAGTGAGACGGACAGCGCGAGAGAACGAGAGATGGACGGTGGCCGGCCGGCGCGCGTAACCCGACCGGCCGCGGACACCGCGCCCACAGCGACTGCGCTCTTGCCGCCGCCGGCGGTGCAAACGACGTAGGTCACGCGAGGGCAGGTGTGACACACGCGCGCGCGCCGGCCACCTCCCACACGCAAACTACCACCGTCGTCGCACCGTTGCGCGCCGCGCACGGGCGGACGCACATAGCGTTCCGACCATCGCGTCCCATACGTCGGTTCGCTCGGCGCCGCTCATCGTGTCCGTACCCCTGTTCGATCGGTCGGCTGCCGTCGCCGCCGGTCGCCGAGCCGTCTGCCGCTCGTAAGCAGCCGCGGTGCGGTCGCGAGTCGCGCCGTCGTGTCGCGCGCGTTTCACGGTGTTGCGAGCGCCGATCTAGCGGGCACATTTGCGTTCGTCACGACACGGTGGCCGCGTGTGCGCGTGCGTTGCGACGTGTACGTACCTGCCGCTTGCGTGCGACGAGATTTCAACGGTATCATATTTTATTTCTTCGTCGGTCCGCTCCGTCCGTCCGTCGGCCGGCGACGGTTCGTCTCGTCCGTTTTCCGCCGCCCGGTCTTCCGGGGTTCCCGCGCGCGGCCCGGACATATATTACACATCGTCGTATCATATTTGTACACGTCGCGCGGTATACTTCGAGATTTTCCGATTTTTCTTTCCGGATTTTCCTTGACATGCCCGTCCGCCGCCGTCCGGCCGTCGCGCCGCTACACCGAACGCGCGTGAACGGGCGCGCGCCCGCCGCACCGTCGTCATGATGGAGACCGGTTGACGCCAGAACGCGGACGACGCTATTCTGCAGGTCAGTCGCCCGAATGATAAATACTGTTGTCGTCATCGACGTGAGCTAGGTATATGAATATGATGATTATAATCGCGATCGTGCGTCCCTCCATCACTATACAAGCCCGCCACTGTGTCGAGGTATTTTTTTTTATTATTTTTTTTTTTTTTTTTTTTTTTTTTATTTTGTCTGACCGACCGTTACTGTTGTTGTCATTGGTCGCGAGTCGACAAAAACTTCGAGCTCGAAGATTTCACCCGGAAAAATGTTGCCATTACACTTAGATTCCGGGCGGATTAGAAACGGATCTTACTCAGTAGGTATCGGTTTAATATTGCAAAATTTAAAAATACATATAAATATATATACTAAAAAAACTTTAGCAAAAATCGGTTTACGACAATATCCATTATGTTTTTTTTTTTTTTTTTTGTAGTGATTCGAAAATAAATGAAAACAGCTACGCTTACATTTTTCTTTTGATATTCATATCTACCGATTACACGACATAAATATAAGATATGTTGGATTTTTGTGCTGTTTATATACGTTTGAAATTTATTTATACATTTTTTTTTTATGTACAACATTTTTATTTACTAGTAAAAAATATTGAAATGTAACGCAAGATTCTTCATAAATTATTTTTACCAAAGTAGAAATACAGGTTTCTTTAGTTTAAATTAAAATATAAAAACATAAATTTATCAATATTAATATTTATGAACATTTTAATTTTTACACACGATTATAAATAATGTAATATAATATTTTTGCTAAGTTATTTTATTATAATTTAAAAAAAGTTCAGTATCTCTTCTGTGATTTTACGTATATTCATTTTTTTTGTAATAGTTGACTCACGTAAAACATGACAATGTTATTCTGCCTATTATGCCGATAATAAATATTAATTATGTGATTTGTCATTATAAGAAGAGTAACCCAATATTGATAGTTATTTGGTATACTTGACAGTTAGTATTAATTGTTAGTTATTAAAGGATTAACGGATCATTAAATTAATTTTTTATTATCCGTAAGTTGAAGATAACATTTTCTTGGAATAAAAAAAAATACGCACAGTAAACGAAGGTTATTAAATAAATTTAATATGTTTGTTAAAATATCTATACTTTTTATTCTCATAACGGAAAAAAAATATTTACATTGTTAAAAAAAAAAAAAAATACCCATCTGAAAAAAAAAGGTTATCGTCAGAAATATACTAAAAAAATAAATATGATTATATTCTAATAGGTAAGTTTATGGTAAAAATTTTGTAAAAATACGATTTTAATAATGAATATCATCATATTCTAGAGGTTTATAATTTATAATTGCTTTTACATAAAAATCAGGCCAATTATTCAACATTATTAATGCGATTTTAAAAACAAAGGAATAATTGAAATTTTCATGATTTTTATTTTTATGCTTTAAATTAAAATGTAAGAATATAAATCTGAAAAATATTTAAATTGAAGTAATTAATAACTTAGCAATAATTTGTATTGTTTATATAGACTAAAGATAAATATGTTTTGCAAAATATTATACATCTAAATATATCAATATTTTATTTTTATATTGTTGAACAGAATAACAAATATGAACAGTTCTAGATTTTTATCACAACATTTCATGTTTGATTAAAGTGTTTTATATTTAAATAAGTAATTAATGTGAAAAAGTTGTGGAATAAAACAATACATAAAAGCAATTCATTTTCTAACTGAAATGTAACGTTGATAAACATTTGCATGTGTGTGTATTTAAATATTTAAAACACTTAATATATTAAATATTTTAGCGAATAATATTCTAAATGTAATTTTACAAAATTAGAATATTATAAAGAGTGACAATTGTTCACTATGATGAATTATAAAATTCATATCTAATATTACCCGATTAGTAATTTTGCAAACTTGCTAGAATCGTTAAAATTTCGTAACAATTTTTATCATTGAATTTAAAACGAATTAAAAAATATTGCTGTATTTTAAAAATCAGATATACCAGATTTACAAGACAACTTAGTATTCGCATAAAAGTTTCTTGTTAAAAGTGACTAAGTTTACAGAAAAACTTATAAAAATTGTCAATTTAAAATTGTAACAGGCTTTTTTATATAACTTACTTTGAATTTTTTTAATCATATCTATTGCTTTTGATTACTTTTGCTCAACTATAGTAGATGTGCCAACATTAAATCAATATATTTCTACTTTAGCTATTCAAATTTATATTCACGTTTATTTGTAATCTGTTTAATCTGAAATAATAATGCTAGTAATAAGTAGATAGCAGGTACCTTTTTTCAGCATGATATTTTTTGATAGCTTACAGCTTAAAGGTGAAAGTCTTTGGCTTAATATTTAAACAAAACCTAAAATTAAAATCGTATTATTTTTTTATTATGCAATAGGTACACGTAATCTAGTAATAAATTATAATTTTATAATTGCATATTATGTTTTATTTACTTAAAGATTGCATTTATTTATGAATAAATTGAAGTTTGTTTATGGTATGTATTACAAAACATCAAAATGAACAAATTACATTTTGATAGTTATATAACATTCAATAGAAATATTTTGGATACTTACTTCAAATAATAACTTTATTTTTTTAAATTATTTTGAATTATCATAGTATCTTTAATCCATCTAAAACATAAGTTTAAAGTTTATTCGCTTTTAAATATTTAAGGTATGTAAAGAATTTTATAAACGCTTGTTCTTTTGTAAATACGTATAGACAAGAAATAAAGTATTCCTGGACCGTAGTACACATATAAAAACCCCTTGAGTATTTTGAAGTGTTTAAGACTTCAAGGTTTACTATCGTGGGTTGTCAGTTATAAAAATATTTTCTACGGAAAACGTGTACATTTATTTCTTATTTTATGCTACACGCCTACATCACAAAGAATATGATGTAATATGGTACCGTGTACCTGAACAAAAAATCAATTTTATAAATTTCGATTTCTTAAATAATTAACTCGACCAGTATCTTAATATTTATTTCATATTTTTTTATGACATGGCATCATACTTTGTAATTAAAAAAAAAAAAAATGAAACGTAAAATATAAATTGCTTGCACTTTATAAAATGTGTAGTATAATATTTAAATATTATTGAGCACTTATTATATTATTACTTATAATATGTATAATCTATCTAATGTATTCAGTTTATTGAATAATGTAATAATAACTACACCACATAATTTCGTAGAAAATAAATGAGAAGAACAATTATGTTACTATTTTGATTTGAATAGGGATTTATTCTACGTTGTTTAGTGACCTAAAATATTATTTCATAAATTAAAAGTTAGCATTAATAGTAAATTGTTTTTTTTTTTAAATATAAAATATGAATTTGTTTATCTTATAAATAAAGAACAAGAAAAATCCACAAACTTTTAGAATTTATCAATATTCATATTATGTAAATAAATATATTTAAATTATTAATCAATGAATACATATTTATTACTGAGGTTCGATAATATAGTTTTGAAAATATTAAAATAATGGCTTATATAGTAAACTTTAAAAATGTTAAAATACAAAAAGAAAAGAAAAATTAAATCGAATAAACCAATAAACAATAATTTTAAAAACTTTATTTCAAACTTTGTCATTGTATTACTACTTGTTCAATTTTGTTTTAATTTTTTTTTTTTTGATATTCAGATTTCAAACACGAATGTAATTGATATATTTATAAATTTAAAATAAAATCAATGACATTAAATGAAATTCTTTTTTTTATATTCATAATATATAAGTTATTCTTTTCGAAAAATAATTACTTTTGTCGTGTTGTATTACTTACTATATAATTATATAAATATATACTAGCATGGATTTGTATAACACATATCTCATAAATATTTAAAAAAAAAAATCACTTCATAAGTAACTCTAAATCATTATTTTTGTCTTGTTTAATGATGCTGGTAATAAGTATGGAAGGTGACGGTCAACTATAAAAATGGTATGATAACCGTTATTTAAAGGTGTCTACTTATAACACCATGGACTAAGGCAATTATGACAGCTAGATTATTCGTAACTTCTTTCCCTTCTTAAATTAAAACCATATAGCGTTGCTAGAATGGTTTAATCTCTATCTATATTATATGCAAACCGTCAAAAGTTGTTTAACAATGACAATGATGATGTTGATGATGATAATAATAATAATAATAATAATACGTGATTTAATCAAACGTTAATATCCTGTATGTATGTAATTTAAAATTATAATAAGCTTTTAAATAAAGAAAGGCAGAAATACATTTTGGCAGAAAATGAGCTAACATTTTAACGGCAAGTTGTAATTGGAGCTTTAATTTTAATGCAATCGTAAGACGTGGCGTATGATGTAAATATTACAACACATTTTTAAAATATAAACACGAAAAAGACGAATTTAAAGACAACTTAATTTGGGTTTTAGTCTACTATACATATATATATTTGTATCTTGCTTAAAAAATGCTGTGCTAATTACACTGAACAACAATAATGTGGTTAAATAGTATGAAAAATAATATGAAAGTTAAATCAATTATATATAAATTTTTTTTTTTTTTTTTATCAAAAACTTAAGTTATTTGATAAACTTAAAGAAATACGTATATTCTTTAATTATATATATATATTATTTCATAATCTAATCAATATTTAGAAGGGTTAATCAATTTTCGGAAGGCTTAGCTTTCTGTACCCTGTTCGTGTCTATGTTCTATAGATATTAAATTTGAATCCATTTACTGTACTGTATGTTTATCTAAACGAAATAATAAACTTGATTCCTCATGGAAATTATTGTTCTTCAATACTGATAACCCAGAATTCCAATAGGCTGTTTTATATAACACAGCGATCAATTTAATTTCATAGTTTATTATGGGTAAGTAATGTAAAAATGTCACGAAATTAAGGTCATGAAAGCTATATGTACTTATCTGTGTACTATATAAAATAACCA